ACATTTTCTTAGGTCTTAATGATATGTTATATAGTGAACATGAAAATATTTGACTTAAAAATATAAAAAACATATGTAATTAGCCATTGTGATTATGCTGCTTTATATCTGAGATACATTCTCAAGTGATTTCTTCTGGGTTTGCAAAAAAATTTTTGTATTTTTAATTTTTTGTCTGAGACCGAGTTTTGCTAAGTGGCCTAGGCCAGTCTTGTGATCTTCCTGCCTAAGCCTCCTGAGTTGCTGGGATTACAGGTCTATACCACCATGCCCATCATGAAAAAAATTATTATTTTTGGTGCCAGGAATTTACTCCAGGGCCTTGAGTTTGCTAAGCACATGCTCCATCATTGAGTTATACTCCCAGTCTCATGATAAAATTCTTTTTTTTTTTAACCATACAATTTATTTTTATTTTTTTTAGTCATACATGACAGCAGAGTGTATTTTGACATATAATACATACATGGAATCATAATGTCTATTCTATTCTGCTGCCCTTCCTATCCTCCCTACTGATAAAATTCTTTTAGGAGCTAAAAGGTATAGCTCATGATAAGAGCATGTGTGAGGCCCTGGGTTTGATCCCCAGCAATGCAAAGAAAGGGAAAAAAAAAAGTTTTCTGAAAGGAAGTAGCAGAAATTCATGAGATTTTGAATTATGGATCTGAAATTTATGTAGAGGTTTTGTCTTTGTTCTTATGACTTAATCAGTTTCTAATATTTTATTAATGAAAATGGGTTCTAGCTTGAGATATATATATATATATATATATATATATATATATATATAATCTATCTCCAGGTATTTTTTTGTTTTGTTTTAAATATTAGGAGTTGAACCCAGGGGCACCTAACTACTGAGTCACATCCCCAGACCTTTTTATTTTTTATTTTGAGACCGGGTCTTAGTAAGTTGCTGAGGTTGGCTTTGAACTTTTGATATACCTGTCTCAGCTTCCTGGGCCACTTTGATTACAGACGTGCACCAATCCAGTTCTTGAATTCTATTAAGTACCTCCTTTGAAACAGTCTGGTACTTTTGCTTGTATGTCTGGCATTAATCCTTTTTTTCTTTTCTTTTCGTTTCTTTCTTTCTTTCTTTTTTCTTTTTTTGGTGGTGCTAGGGATTGAACCCAGGGCTTTGCATTTGAGGCAGAGAGGCAAGAACTCACCAACTGAGCTGTATCCCCAGCCCGGCATTAATCCTTTTCATATTAGCATTGCCATTTAGAATTAGTGAAAGCAGATTCATGATAATTACCAAAAGAATTACCACCACAAATACTGAAAGAAGTCATTGATTTGATATTGCAGTGAATACCAGAAGATGTTGAAATGATTTTCCATTTATAAAAAATGAATTGTCCATTTAACTGTGGAAGTCTAACCATATTTGTTTTAATGCATAGTGTTAGTACAAAAAGTTAAATATGCCCAAGTTCAAAAAAGGAATATACTGTATTGACATGCTTATATTAAGTGATTTTTTTTGAATTTTAAACAAATGTTTAGTATTTTTTTTTTAAATATTTTTTAGTTGTTGATGGACCTTTATTTATTTGTATGTGGTGCTGAGAATTGAACCCAGTGCCTCATGCATGCTAGGCAAGTACGCTACCACTGAGCCACAACCCCAGCCCAAATGTTTTTTTTTTTGTGTGTGTGTATTTATTTATTTATTTATAGTTATACATGGACACAATATCTTTATTTTGTTTATTCATTTTTTTTTTTTTTTTTTGGTGCTGGGGATTGAACCCAGGGCCTTGGGCTTGAGAGACAAGCACTCTTCCAACTGAGCTATGTTTATTCATTTTTATGTGGCGCTGAGGATCGAACCCAGGGTCTCACATGTGCCAGGCAATCGAGTGCTGTCTTTTACCTAATTTAGGAATGAATAGAAGAGAACATACCTAAAGTTGTTCTCGCATTGTAGGTAGATTTGTAGCACACAGTGTTTGAATAAATGTTATAGATAGTAAGGAATTAAAGTTGTTAGAGAGCAATACAGGAGATTCCTATTACTTTCCTTAATTATTCTTTTCTTATGACATCTCGAGGAAGGTAAATTCTGCATTGCAAGTCACTAAAGCTACCAGAAAATCTTTATAATATTACATTTGGTCTCATTTCATGAGGTTCCAATTATTAGTTGTCATTAATTTGTCATTCTTTGGCAATTACATTGATTTCAAAGAGGAATTACAATTCATTTTAGTGTTTTATAGAATTGAAATACAAAATGGCTCTCCAATTTAAAAGTTATAATAAGAAAAAGTGGTCATGTCTTCTGACATTTTAATAATGATAGTAGGAAAAGTGAACACATCTTTTGGGTCATATAACATTATTTTTCCAGAGTTAATGAGGGAAGCAAAGCTTAATTTTTGTTTAATCATTTTGTAGACAGTGCTGATCAAAATTGAGAAATTAATTTGTTTGTTTTGTTTTTTGGTACTTGGGATTGAACTCAGGAGCAATTTACCACTGAGCTACATTTCTGGCCTTTTTTTTTTTTTTTTTTTTTAAAGAGAGAGTGGGAGAGAGAGAGAGAGAGAGAGAGAAATTTTTTTTAATATTTATTTTTTAGTTCTCGGCAGACACAACAGCTTTGTTTGTATGTGGTGCTGAGGATCGAACCCGGGCCGCACGCATGCCAGGCAAGCGCGCTACCACTTGAGCCACATCCCCAGCCCCATTTCTGGCCCTTTTTAATTTTTAATTTTGAGACAGGGTTTCACCAAGTTGCTTGGGACCTCACTAAGTTTCTGAGGCTGACTTCAAATTTGTGATGCTCCAGCCTCCTGGGTTGCTGGAATTATAGGTGTACACCATAGTGTCTGGCTACTTTACATCTTTACAAATTTTGTGTGTGTGTGTGTGCGCGCGCACGCTCACGCTAAGGATTAAACCCAGAGCTTCACACATTCTGACTAGACTATACCACTGAACCACACCCCTAACCCATTATACCAGGTCTTGACTATAGAAGTTAAAGAAGATGCTTGCAGATTTTTTGGCTGTGGTCCAATAATTTTATTTTAGTTATAAGTAAAATTATGAGGTATCTTAAAGGGCAAAAATGGTTGAAATATTAATTCGCTTAATATTGCTTTAGGGTATCACCTGTGCAAGAGATGTTTACCTTTTTTTTTTTTTTAATATTTATTTATTAGTTTTCGGCAGACACAACATCTTTGTTTGTATGTGGTGCTGAGGATCGAACCCGGGCTGCACGCATGCCAGGCAAGCTCGCTACCGCTTGAGCCACATCCCCAGCCCCAAGAGATATTTACCTTGAGAATAATTTCTAGAATATAGACCAATTTCTGAAAGCTTGGTTAAATAAAAAATATTTGGGACTGGGGGCATAACTAAGAGGTAGAGTGCTTGACTCCATGTATAAGGCCCTGGGTTTAATTTCTAGAATTACCAGGAAAAGAAGAAAAAAGTGATTGCACTAAAAAGTGTGTGTATGTCTGTGGGGAGGAGTTATTTAAGAAGTGTCTCCCCACTTCCTCAAGGACTTCTAGATCAAGGGGTAGGAAAAGTAATGATGATGTTTAGTTTGTTATTCTTAAGATTGACATGATTAACAAATGAATTGTACAGTTAGTAAATGCAAAACTCCTAAGGAAAGAATCTTTAAAGTGGGATGATTAGACATGCTTTTATGGAGAAGCTAGTTTAAACTGGATCTTGAAGGATGGAATTGCATCTTTGCAAAGGAAAATAATGGGAGAACATTTATTTGGAGAAAATAGCCAGGGCAGAAGAAAACAAGTAGGAGCTGAGGATATAGCTCAGTGGTATTTTACTTGTCTACTATGTGTAAGGCCCTGGGTTGGATCTCCAGAACTGGAAAAAAGGGAGAGGGGAGGACAAAGCAAAAGCTAGGGCTGCAAAGTAAGTTTTATTTTAGTACTTTAAGCAGGAATGCACTAGTAATTTAAGATGTTTTTATTAATGGATAGACATTAAAATTCCTGCTTTCTTATATCAAGATTAATTGATATTTAGTTTTGTTGGATATGCTATATCCATACAATTAAAGGTCTTGATAACCAGTCTCTGTTCACCAAAGTTAATGTGAATGGAGCCCCATGAATTGAGGATATATACAGAGAAGTAATAATAATAATGGACCATCTGATTTTAAGCTTGGTAGGGTAATGAATGAAGACTTTGGGGTTGTGGGAGATGGTGGTAGTAATGGTGAGAAGGTGAAAAGTTGGTAGGATCAATATATTTTAGGTTCTGATGGGACTTAAGACTTGTTAGAGGGACTTGTTTGTGTGATTATACCAGAGAAAATGAGCTGGGAAGATAGAAGTTGGTGGTGGTTGGATAGTACAATGTTGAAATTATTGTTTATGACCATGAAAGTGAATAACTAAGGTACAATGGAAGACAGGATAGTTGTAGGAAAGGAAGTTAAAGAACTGAGGCACCAGGACGTTATCAGATCATTTAACCTGGAGATGATAATGATAATATTGTATACTTGTATACTGTCATGGCTTAAGAAGCGCCTTTATTTCATTCTTTTCTGATTATTCTAGTAATTTAGGGAATTAAATAAAATAGTATTTCCATTTTATGGATGAGAAAATTGAGGCCCAGGTATATAGTTTATCTGGTGCCGAGCTGAATTTTATTTGTTTTGTTTCTTTTGTTTTGCAATATTAGGTATTACTTTCATTATTTTTTAATTATTTTTATTTTTGCATCCTCAATGGTAGCAGAGACCCTGTAGTTTAACAAACATTTGTTCAGATCAAATAAGTGGAAGAAATAGTCATTTGCTCATCTGAGTCATACTTCCCTGTATAAGTCTTTCCCTGGTTCAACATATGGATCTAAATAAAACCTTGCTTAGGGGGAGGGAGGAGGAGATGGAAAGAAGGTTCTGGGAAGGAGATTGAGCAATTAATGTTGCGTGCATGGACAATTAGAGCATTAAAAAATCCCATTATGTACAATTATAATGCACTAATAAACTTTTTTTTTTAAATGTTGCCTAGATTCTGACAAGATCAAGCACAATATAATTTCATATAAATTTAGTTAAAATGGGCCTCAGGGAGAGCAAATCCCACTTCATGAAGAGAAAGAATCCACCAGGTGTCTCATCAGGAGATTCAGCTTCAGTAATCGGCATTGTAGGGGTAGTCCGGCAAATTATCCTGGTCAGCCGGGACACAGATCCTCCAGTTTCTGTTGAAGCTGAGTAAGGTAGCCATCTCCTCATCACTCAATTTGAAGTCAAAGACCTGAAAGTTCTCGAGAATACGTTCTGGGGTCACAGACTTGGGGATCACCACCACATTCCTCTGGATCAGAACCTGGGCCGGGGATTTTTTGTGCCTTGCAGCAATCTTCTTGATCTTAGGGTCCTCCAATAGTGAAGGGTTTTCTGGTTTAGCCCAAGGTCTATCTGGAGAGCCCAGGGGGCTGTAGGCTGTGACAGTGATGCCCTTAGAATGGCAATATTGGATCAGTTTCTCCAGGGTGAGGTATGGATGACACTCGACCTGGTTAGTCACTGGTTTATATTTGAGTCCAGGCTTATTCAAGATCTTTTCAATCTGGAAGTGGTTGAAGTTGGAAACACCAAGAGCTTTCACCAACCCCTCATCCACCAGCTCCTCCATGACCTCCCAGGCATCCAAGAATGTTTCTTTACTGATGAGGTTGTTGCCTTTATCATCTTTGGGGAATAAGTCCTTCCCAGCCTGAAATCCCTGGGGCCAATGAATAAGATAGACATCCAGATAGTCCAGTTTCAGATCCTTGAGGGTCTTCCGACAGGCTTCCTTCACAAGCTTCCTCTCAAAGAAGGTGCACCACAACTTGCTCACAATAAAGAGGTCCTCCCGCTTCACCACCTTCTCTTGGATTTTCTCTTGGATGGCTTCTCCCACCTCATTCTCATTCTGATAGATGTAGGCACAGTCTATGTGGCGATATCCTACATCAATGGCCACCTTCACGGCTTCTTTGACTTTGTTTGGGGAAGACTTCCAGGTGCCCAGACCCAAAATGGGCATCTTGGCTTTGGTGCTGAGCTCCACGAAGGTCGCCATGGTTGGTGCAGAAATGGCTTTGAGAGAGCAAATAGATGTCTGGTGTCCCCGAAGACAGGGTCTTGCTAAGTCGCCTAGACTTTCCTCCAGCTTGAACCTGTGATCCTCTTGCCTCAGCCTCTGGAGTAGCTGGGATTACTGCATCCAGTTTTTTGTGTTTTTTTTTTTTTTTCTCTTGTGGGTCTGGGGATCTGACCCAGGGCCTTGTGCATATCAGGCAGGCACTTTACTAGTAGAGCTACAATCCTGGCTCTAGAGCTGAGTTTTAAACTCCAATCTTCTGATTTCTATTGTATTTTCTTTCTGCTGCACTGTGTAGCTTGGCCTCTCTTGAAGGAGATGAGTGTTGGTACCATATCAGTTTGCAAAGCATTGTTTCTCATGTGAGGTAGAGTTATCTGTCAATTAATTAACTGGTAAGAAGTAGTTGGTATACTTGTCTTTTTTTTGGTATTGGAGATTGAACTCGGGCACTCGACCACTGAGCCACATCCCCAGCCCTATATTTTTGAATTTTATAAAGAGACAGAGTCTCACTGAATTGCTTAGCGCCTCACTTTTGCTGAGGCTGGCTTTGAACTCACGATCCTCTTGCCTCAGCCTCCTGAGCGGCTACAGGCATTTGCCACGGTGCCCGACTGGTATAATTGTCTTTAAAGATGATTTTTTGTTGTTGTTTTAAAAATATCTTATGTAATAAAATTAATTGATTGTTTATGGCTTCTTGTTGACATTTTCACCATGTGTAGGTCTATCAGACAATCCCATTTAATTTCCCCAAAATTATTGCGTGTCCATTTGTTAGCTTGGCATCATAAAAAGATAGAAAACAGGGCTGGGGATATAGCTCAGTTAGTAGAGTGCTCGCCTTGCCTGCACAAGGCCCTGGGTTCAATCCCCTGCACCACAGGAAGAAAAAAGAAAAAACAGACCAAAGCAGTCCAGTTTGATCATTTGTTTCCAGAAAAAGCATAGATTGGGGCTGGGGTAATAGTTCAGTGGTAGAGTGCCTTGCCTAGCATATACAGAGAACCTGGGTTCAATCCCCAGCATCATCAAAACCAAAGAAAGAAAGAGACAAAACAAACAAAAACCCCAACCATCACAGCAAGAACACAGAGTCAATTGGAAAGGAGTTTGATACTTCTACTTGAACTTGACAGTTCAAGCTAGAGGATATTATAAACTTACCCCTGACTATTATGATGTAAAAAATTGACTGCTCTGTTATCTGGTGAGAACAGAACAGTATCAGAGTAATATCAGCTACTATTTGTGGATTATGTATTTCATTCCAGCTCTAGTACCAAGGAATTTTAGGATATTTATCTAATCCAAGATACCCTCCAAACTAGATGGTGGTGGTGGTGGTATCCCCCATTTTACTGATGAAAAAGCTGAGTCTTAGAGAAATTTAGTCTACACAGTTAGTAAACTCAGATTTGAACCTTTTCTCTCTTAAGATGCGACTTTCTTTGTGGTTCCTGATATCATAAGTGTAAGATCCAAACTCACTAATCTGGCTTAAAACTATCTGATGCCATTATAACAACTGTACTTGATTTCTTCTTTTTTCTCCTTGTTGTCTGTATCCTGGGATTTTTATTGTTACCTGGACATGTTTAGGCTCTTTGATTATTCTTGCTTTTGCATATGCTCTTATTTTGCATATGTTGTCAAGAATGCTCTTCTCTCTAGCAAATTCCTACTTATTCAAGGGTTATGCAAATGAGGCAAATGAGCCGTTCTCTTGGTAACTAGTGCTGTCCCACAAGAGTGAGAATTTGTTCACTCCCATGAGACAGCATTAATCCAAGTATGAGAGCAGAGGCCAATACCTACCAAGACACCTCACATTAGGCGCTAGGGGACCGAGGCCATCTCTGAACTACAACAGCCCTCTACTGGGTACGGGCCCACATCCTTTTTTTTTTTTTTTTTTTTTTTCTGAGATGTCCTTTATTCCCATTTCACAGATAAGGAAATCAGGCTGGCTCTTCTGACAAGTGAAAGCACCAGGGTCTGGCTAAGCAGTCACTGACCGAGAGCAGCCATCTTCTGGCTGGGAAAGGGGTTTGGTGGGAGGCCCTGGGCAGCAGTCTCGGGGAGAATGAGCGAGACAGTGTAGAGACAGGAGGCATGGCAGAGAATTACACACAGGGATGGAACATCCTGTCCCTGCTGCCTAAGTGCCACTAGCCCCGCTTCATAATATACCTGCCATCACCCAGCTAGCAGATGGCACTGTCAGAGCCACCCAAGCCAGGCATGCAGGTGGGGCCCACATCCTTTTGCATCACAGTGCATGCTGTACCACCACATGGGGTTAGGGCTTAGTTCCTTTTTACAGGGGTCACAGCATACTTTCTATGGCAAGTACTAAATGCCACCTATAAAACAGTGGCTGCTGTGGTATTGGACCAAGCTCTTACCTTAATTTTGATAGTTGTACATTCCTAGGAATTTGTTCATTTCTTCTAAATTTTCACATTTACCCTCATAAAGTGAGGGTAATATGATACCTTCAGTATCTGTACAGCTGTTAAATAATTGTTTTTAAACTTAACATCAAATGGAGTCTTTTTTTTTTTTTTTTATCTCTGACATTGATATCTTCCCTAGGCAGAGTTAGTTGCTTCATTTTCTGTGCTATTACAACATTTTGGTCTTATTTGAGTAATAATACTTTTATTAGTAATAGTAGCACCTGATACAGCACAGAGTATTTACTCTGTGTTCGGCAGTAAGTTATGCACTATTATCTCATGTAATCCCCACTAACCCCATAGAGTAGATTCTATTGTTACTCCCATTTTACAAATTAAAAACTTATCCAGGGTCACACAACTAGCAAATCAAAAGAACTTCAGTAATTTTGGACTGGTCTCAGCCTTTAATCACTGTGTTGTTTTACCTCTCCTATTTTATACTTCTAATAATTTCTTACTTCCCTGGACTTAAGAACTCTTGGAATGCAAAGTCTTTCGTGTTTTCCTCATTTTTCTTGTATTGAGTCACAATTAGACACATAGAAGTTGGTTTTATATTTTAATTGATGAGTAAATAAAGACAGGCATTTAGCCTGTTTGCTTTAGATGCTCTGTGCTGAGCTGTAATAAGATGTTGCTTCTTTTGTTACATGTATATAGCTACATGCTTTGAATTAGTAAATTCTGAAATAGCTTTTCTTGCATGTCTGAAATAAAAGTGTTCCTTTTTTTTTTTTTTTAAAGGAAGTCATAGGAGAGAAGCTTAGTAGAATCTGAGAAAAATGTTCAGACCTAGGGACTCTCTGCTGTGTGGTGGATTATCTAGGTTGAACTGTTAGTTGCTGTGGTATCTTATAAAGTGAGTTGAGGGATATTTCAAGTATGAAGGTTGTGTTATGGATAGTTAGAATTTGAATTTGTTTTAATAATTACAATAATCACCTTTTAGTTGTTTCTTTCTGTGTGACATATTGTAAATACATGTGTTCTTCTGTGGACCATTGTGGAATTTTGGTCAAAGTGTCTGAATAGAGAATCTATCATATCAGCCAGTGAAAAGAAACAATGCAGCATTACTGTGGGTTCTAGAGGAATTCCTAACTATTATTTCTCACCTTTCTAAATGCTTTAAGAATTGTTGAGCCAGGCAAGGTGACACAAGCCTGTAGTCCCAGATACTTTGGAGGCCAAAGCAGGAGGATCGTAAATTCAAGGGCAGCCTAAGGAACTTAGCAAGACTGTTTCAAATTTAAAAATAAGGGCTGGGATGTAGCTCAGTTGTAAAGCGACCCTGGCTTCCATATCTATTACCAGAAAAATAATGTGGAATTCAATTACAATGAGTACATCAGACTGGCTTACTCCATCCTGGAACTTTTATCACTCCCACTCCCCATTCCCCATTCCTATAAGCAGGCCTACTCTTGACATTTGTAGGACTTGAGTCAAGAATCCAAATAAAAGGCCATAAGCAAAAAAAAAATAATAATAATATTTATTCACAATACCTTTATTTCACTCATTTATTTTTTACGTGGTGCTGAGGATTGAACCCAGGGTCCCGCGCGTGTGAGATGAGTGCTCTACCACTGAGCCACAACCCCAGCCCCCCAAATTTTTGAATTTAATAAAAATATAAACCAAACAAATTGACACCAGGTGTGGTGGCACAAGCCTGTAATATCAAAGACTCAGGGGGCTGAGGCAGGAGGATCACAGGTTCAAGGGCATCCTGGGCAATTTAGTAAGACCTTGTCTCAAAATAAAATGAAAAGAGCTGTGAATATAGCTCAATGGTCAAGTTACCCGGGAAAGACACAGCTGTGGGATTATGTGGACGCCAAAATCATCATCAGTTAACAAATAAGATTCTACTTATATTGATAGGGCAATCCCTGTCTATATTTAAATTATCATCAAAGCTAAATTTATTTTCACACTTGTCTCACATTTGGAAGCAGAATCCTTGACCTGTAAGAAACTAGAGCTACTGTGTATTTTCATGATACACAGGGCAGGTCAGCCAGGTTCTATTTTCTTGGATTTTTGTTTTTATTGTTTTTGGTACTGGGGATTGAACTTAGGGGCACTTGACCACTGAGCCACATCCCCAGCCCTATTTTGTATCTTATTTTATTTTAATTTTTTAAAATATTATTTATTTATTAGTTTTTCGGCAGACACAACATCTTTCTTTGTATGTGGTGCTAAGGATCGAACCTGGGCCGCACGCATGCCAGGCGGTGCGCTACTGCTTGAGCCACATCCCCAGCCCCCTATTTTGTAGTTTATATAGAGACAGGGTCTCACTGATTTGCTTAGCACCTCATCATTGCTGAGCCTGGCTTTGAACTCACGATTTTCCTGTCTCAGACTCCCAAACTGCTGGGATTACAGGTGAGCCTGGCTATATTCTTGTTTTTGCTTACTGGGAATAGAACCTAGGGCTTCACACATGCTAGGCAAGTTCTACCACTGACCCACACACCCAATCCCATATTTTATTTATTTGTAATTAGAGCTAGCATAAATGGAGGCTTTTGAGGGAAGGTCA